CCTATACCATTTCGGACAAATGGCTGTCCAGTCTCTTCTTAAAAACTTCCAGTGTTGGAGCATTCACCGCTTCTGGAGGCAGGTTGTTCCACTGGTTAATTGTTCTAACTGTCAGGAAGTTTCTCCTTAGTTCTAGGTTGCTTCTCTCCTTGATTAGTTTCCACCCGTTGCTTCTTGTCCTGCCTTCAGGCGCTTTGGATGTCAACTCCTTGTTATTCCTACCGAAAATGGTTGTCCAGTATGTCATGGCCTGATTTTTTGTTTTTTTTATCTCATGCCTTCCCTACCACAAACTTCTTATTCTTGCCATCCATATCTGCTGCTCTTCTCTGGGAGCTCAGAAATGAGACTTGATGACTCTCCTCTGAAAGGCTCAAAAGCCCAAGGAAAGACCAAAGACAAAGTCAAATTATCCAAAGAGGACAAAAAGAAAAAACAGCAGCAGCAGCAGCAGCAGCAGCCAGATGCCTTTGAAAAGAAGAACAAGCAGAAGATTGATGAGACGAAGGTGAGCTATTCCCAACCCTAATTTGATGAAAAACATTTTATCCAGTCATGGTTGTAATGTTTTAGCTTTGCATTTTTAGTCCTTTTTCCCCCCCCAGTTCAAGTCCCTTTGAAATGAAGGGAAGCTCAACAAGAATCCAAATCCATCATACAGACTTCAGTTTATGTGTTTTGGGAGAGGCCACTTTCCCAAATGAAATCAGGCATCTATTACTGCTAATCAGAATAATTAACAATCAGCAGGCAAACCTCCCATTAGTCTAGGTTTGCTGAAATGTAGTGGTGCATGCACAATGGATAGGCACCTCTTATCATGGACTTCATCAGTAGTCCTTTTATAACCCCTTTGCTCTATAAAGAGCATGCCTGGCGATGCTGCGTCATCACCAAAGGAAGCAAGGCCAAAATTTATGCCATGAGGTTTGCAGAATGTCATTAAGTACAAAGTGGAGTGCTCTAAGATGCCCATAATATTCCACTTGTAGGGCTGGCCAACCCTAATGTGTACTCTAAAGGATTGAAAATCTTACCTCTTTCCATCTCCAGATAATTGAGAAAGAGGGGTTCTTGGTACTCTCTGAGCTTGGTTGATGTTCCATTATCCAAAACTGATAACATCAACAGTGCTAGTGACATACATGACTAGTCACTAGCACTGATGATGTTACCAATTTTGAACCCCTCATTTCAACCCTGCGCTACAAATACTCTCCTTTATTAGTTGAGAAAGATCCTCTTCTGAAATCTTGGGGACTTGCTATGAGTCAGTTCAGAGAGCACTGAGCTAATTGACTCAGGAGAAGGCATTTCCCACAAACTTCATTCATTCATCACTCAGTAATAGAACATTGGGAACCTTTGAATCACTCATTGCAGCTTATCTATATTTCTGCCTACATTTTGGAATTCCAGATTTACGTGGCCATAGTCTTAAAATGGAAACAGTACCTAACTTGGTGTCATTAGAATGTATCGCACTCCAAAATACCATTAAAAGCATTTACAAGGATAAAAATATCATCAAACAACAGAAGCTAATTCTTGTCCTAAAACTGCAAAATAAAGGAAAAGCCTATTTTGTAATATTTCCTTAGGGTACTTAGTTTTGACAGGCTAGGAGACAACATATTCTTTTCTTTAAATGTCTTCTTGGAACAGAACATTTTTTAGAGAGCTAAAATTGCCATTAGGCAGAGAGAGGAGTCTTCTAGTAAATCTACCATTCCACATCAGAAATTCTGAAGAAAAGGAATGTCAACCTAACCCCTCACCTATCTCAGTTCTGGGGAGATTTCAATCATATACAAAACTGGTTACAGTTCCTTTTGTTCATTCATTTCTTCAATGCCTTTCAGCCATCTTTCCCCCGATATTTTGATTCATGCCGGTTGAAGATAACAACAATTATATTCAATACACCTAAAGGCTACCACAATGAATGTAGCTGCTATAGATTGTCAGTATACCTCTACTGCATTGATTAAATAAGTTGACCTTATTTTAAAAGCTTTTCACATTCTTTGCTTCATTATTCTTTTGATATGATATTTTATTTACGAGGAAGTGTGCTTCTGCAAAATAAAATACACATGCACACACATACAATATCACAGTGGAATTCTCTACTGTGTAGGTGCTGTTCATCGGCAATGAGAATGGGAGAAAGGAAGATACAAATGAAATGAAATAAAACTTGTGGCAACAATGATATTTTGCAATATCATAAATGACAATAAAAATATGACTTTCAGAAGGGTGAGAAAACTGGAAAAGAAATAGGGGAAAGAGATGTCATCTATTTGGGTGGTTCCATTCTTGCATATTATTGTATGTTTACAGATGTTCTCCATTTTTTTTATATAAAAAAGGATCAAGGACCACATTTTGAAGCTGGTGGTGGGAATTTCTGTGTACCATGCCTCCTGTGTCAGCAAAATATCTTGGTTCTGATCCATAAGTACTACTGTTCCTGAATATATGATTGTAATAGTCAGAGGCCCAAATTATGTTATTTTCTCCATCCTATCGAGGTATATCCCAAAGAACTGGAGACAGAATTTGATAATTTTGAGGACTGGCTGCATACTTTCAACCTCCTTCGTGGGAAGATTGGAGATGATGATGACAATTCTGCAGATGAGGATCGCATTGTGGGAAGATTCAAGGTGAGTGTGAAATTCCACTGACTCATTTCCAATTTTATTAATCCTGGTGGACTACTGGCAAGCCAGAAAGGCAAAGAAAGGATCTGATTTCACTCCTCTTTTGACTTGAACAGAGAATTTGTTCAGTTAAACAGGTCTTGTTTTAAGATAAAGGGGCTTTAGCAAGATTAATGGAATGAATGAAAAGATGGATAGATAAATTAGGAATTTTAATCCAAATTAGAGAAGAGTACAGGTCTTTGAAATGTTATTTCTTCTCCAATATATACACAGTGCATCTCTTCTCGCATTTGCTTTAGGGGGAGAAAAGAGTGATTTCTCTTTTCTACACGAGGGGAAAAAGGCCAGTGAAAGTATTGTTTGGAATTGCTCTAACCATTTGCAGCACCCCCATCAATCAAACTTGCATAATTTGCAGATTGTAAGAACAAAATATGCAATATGTGATCATTGTCATGACGCCAGTTCAGCACTAAGGAATAATTTTTTTCACTGACTTTGCTGAGTAGGTAAATATTTTGTCACCATTCCAACAGCTGAAAAAATAATGCCTCCTTAAATACAGCTCTCTTGTGGAAATCATAAGTTTTTGTAAGTTACTTATTTATTACATTTTATCTTTTTTATTTTAAAATATTCCCGAGTGTGGTATAATTCCATTAGAGCCACACAAAAATTGATTGCACTATATTGTTTAAACTTTAAAGTGTCACAAAACACTGGTACTGTTGTGTCACAGGCCTGGACACAGAAGATGGAAAAAGAGACCTTAGTAGATGCTTCCTTCTTGCTTTCTTTGCCAAAATCTAGATGGACTTTTAATTGGGCTAAAATTATATCTTCTCATTCCCAGGGGTCCCTGTGTGTTTATAAAGTGCCTCTTCCTGATGATATCACCAAGGAGGCTGGATATGACCCTACTTTTGGCATGTTCCAAGGAATTCCAAGCAATGATCCCATCAATGTGTTGGTCCGGGTCTACATTGTGAGGGTGAGAACAAGTGAGAACAGCTTTCAAGGCCATTTTGTTCTTATATCCATTCCAGATCTGAGCACTGAACTTTTCCTCCTCTGAAATTTTAGATTTCCGTGTTTTATCTAGAAAGTCTAAGCTTTTGTTTGCTTTTTGCTATTGAGTACTGACTCCCCAAATTTTAGGAAAAATGATTTGTTGCTATTCCTTCCCCTGAATAATTAGGAACAGATTTTATAAGCTTAGGGTGGGGGTGGGGGGTAGGGAGAAGAAGAAAATTGAGAAGTGAAAATTGATCACGTGAAGTGTTAATACCACTTTACAATGCCTTGGTAAGGCCACACTTGGAATACTGCATCCAGTTTTGGTCACCGCGATGTAAAAAAGATGTTGAGACTTTAGAAAGAGTGCAGAGAAGAGCAACAAAGATGATTAGGGGACTGGAGGCTAAAGCATATAAGGAACGGCTGCTGGAATTGGGAATGTCTAGTTTAATGAAGAGAAGGACGAGGGGGGACATGATAGCAGTGTTCCAATATCTCAGGGGTTGCCATAAAGAAGAGGGAGTCAAGCTATTCTCCAAAGCGCCTGAAGGCAGGACAAGAAGCAACGGGTGGAAACTAATCAAGGAGAGAAGCAATCTAGAACTAAGGAGAAACTTCCTGACAGTGAGAACAATT